CTCTCTCTCCTAGAAATAAATAAAAAAAAAAAAAAAAAAAAAAAATGAAGGTTATATTAAAATCAGAAAAAAAATGTAGTAAATTTTAGTGTCCATAGGTTGATTATCAAGAAACCTAGATTTTAGGCAAAGGGCCTTTAGAGGCTACCTAGTCTCCTTATTCTGATGCTTGAATTGAACTAATTCACAATTACATTATTAAAAACTTACTACTAAAATCTATTGAACATTTCCAATCCCTTTAAAAATTTTTTTCTAATGTTTATTCATTTTTGAGAAACAGAAAGAGAGTGTGAGTGGAGAAGAGGCAGAGAGAGAGGGAGACACAGAATCTGAAGCAGGATCCAGGCTCTGAGCTTTCAACACAGAGCCCGACGTGGGGCTCAAACCCATGAGCTGTGAGATCATGACTTAAGTCGAAGTCAGAGACCTAGCCAACGGGGCTACCCAGGCGACCCTCTTACTCCTTGAAAATGCTTTACATTCTTACTATTTTCTACTCTAGAAATGTCTTTCATCTCTGCATACTGAAATCTCAATCTCCCTTTCTTTTTTAAGTTTTATTTATTTAAGTGATCTCTACAACCAAAGTGGGCTTGAACTCATAACCCCAAGATAAAGAGTCAGATGCTCTACTGACTGAGCCAGCGAGGCACTCCTTTAAAATCCCTTTTTTTTTTTTTAAATGTTTTATTTATTCCTAGGAGAGAGAGAGAGACAGTGTGAGCAGGGGAGGGTCAGACAGAGAGGGAGTCACAGACTCTGAAACAGGCTCCAGGCTCTGAGCTGGCAGTCAGCACAGAGCCCGACGCGGGGCTCGAACCCATGAACCGTGAGATCATGACCTAAGCGAAAGTCGGACGCTCAACCGACTAAGCCACCCAGGCGCCCCTAAAATCCCTTTCAAGGAACTTTTTCCTTACTCCTTACCTCCAAGAAGCTTTTCCTAACTAATTCAAAAATGATTTTTCTCATTTGGATGCCTTAATAGCATTTTCTAAAAATCAATTTCATTGAGGTATAGTTTATATGCAATAAAATGCATCCATCATATACATGTATTTCAGTGAGTTTTGACAAACTTATAGCCACCAATACAATCAAGATTTAGAACAATTTTATCACTCTTAAAAGTTCAACTCTCTCTGAAATGCTGGGCACAGGGGACCACTCATTTCCTCTCATTACAGATAAGTCCAAAACTTTACCCTAAGGAAAGCAAAGTTATCTGTGCTTTTCTGACTGAGGAACAGAGAGAAAGGAATTCCACGACTATGATTTTAAGTGATACAATCCTGGGAATGTGTATCATAATTCTTTTATTTTTTTTAATGTTTTATTTATTTCTGAGAGATAGAGAGAGAGAGAGAGAGAGAGACAGTGTGAGCAGGGGGAGTCAGAGAGAGAGGGAGACACAGAATCTGAAGCAGGCTCCAGGCTCTGAGCTGTCAGCACAGAGCCCGATGTGGGGCTCGAACCTACGAATCGTGAGATCATGACCTGAGCCGAAGTCGGACACTTAACTGACTGAGCCACCCAGGCGCCCTTGTGTATCATAATTCTTGACAGAGTATTTTTTAGCTTTGCTTTCCAAATCCAAAGTGAAATTCTCTGCAAAAAAGTAATAGAGAAGACACTTCCCTGTAGAAAATTCTCCAATACTCACCGAAGCTATGTTAGTTGATGTATTTAGATTTTTCAGTTCATTTATTCTGTTTCTCCACTGATTTATTAACTGTTGGAGGGAATTTAACTGAAGAGAGAAGACAGAAAATAATCAGTCAATTCTGAGTGTCTAAGTTAGTCTCTCTAACTTCATGTCTTTATTTGCCAAAATCACAAGAAGTTTATAAAACATTTTTATGGCCCATTACTTGTACAATTTGCCCAAGATGTTCCAGCTATAGTTCCCTCCCTGTTCTCCAACACCTTGTGTCACCTGGTTCAGAATCTCAAGTATGTGGCAGCACAGAGGTAGTTATATCCAGACAGGAGCAAATATGTGTACTAGTTGAAATGCATGATTGTGACCATAGACAACACAAAAATACAGTTTATGTGATTTGTTTTAGGCACCAACTTACTGAAGCCCAGCTTTTTATTTTTTGACATCTCATATGTGAGAATGTTAATCTGTATAACAGACTGTGTCTTATTTCACTGCTTTTCTAGAATTCATCATTCTATCTGCACCTAAGAGATGCTCCATAAGTGTCTGTCAGATGATGAAAGGGTCTGATTTCTGCAGCTGATCACTTGATACTTTGTAATAAAAATAGTGAAATCCTTAGTTATATAGTCAAAATATGTTATTACCATTTTAGATAACCAACCAACCTCAAAGAAAGTGATTTAGAAGATAAAAATAGCCTTATCGTGAGAAAAATTATAGACTTCATCCACTTTGCCAAGATATAAGCAAGACACTACAAATAGAAGAAGACTGTAATTAATAGCTAATCTGGTATTAAGGTAGATGAATAGGAAACAAACTTACATAACTCTGTAAGTTATTGCTGGTTAAGTAGTTATGGTATTCAAGCCTCAACTCCTCTGGTGAAATGTCTGTAAAACCTGAAGTGAGGAATCAATTGGAATCTTTAAAATAAATACCACTACTTTTGCTAGTATAGTAAAGCTAGAAGTGCTAGACAAGAAAATATGCTGATGTTGATCATAAGAAAATTTTCATAATCATAAGGAAAAATTTCAAAGCCTACAATCTAATGTTTAATAAAGTATAAGATTAGAATAAAATACAGTTGGATATTTGATCTACTTCAGATTCTGTGTCTCCCTCTCTCTCTGCTCCTCCCCTGCTTGTACTCTGTTTCCCAAAAGTAAATAAACATTAAAACAATTTTTCTCTTTCTTAAAAAGGAGCACCTGGGTGGCTCAGTCAGTTATGTGTCCAACTTCAGCCCAAGTCATGATCCCACGCTTCGTGGGTTCGAGCCCCGTGTTGGGCTCTGTGCTGACAGCTTGGAGCCTGGAGCCTGCTTCAGATTCTGTGTCTCCCTTCTATCTCTGGCCCTGTCCTGCTTGCATTCTGTCTCTCTCTGTCTCCCAAAAATAAATAAATAAAAATTAAAAATTTTTTTTAAATATAGCTGGATATTTGACATTTAGAGGCGAAAATTTTCTAAAGATAAATGGAGTGTAAAGAATAATAAAGGAAAGAGTTGACAACATAAACATTCGAACTTCTGTTTAAAAAAAATATTCTGTATGGCAGAAAGTATAAGCAAAATTAAAAGGCAAATGATAAGCTGGGAAAACCATAACTTTAACATGTATGACAGGAAGAGAGCTAATCTTAATGTTTAAATAGCACCTATAAATCAATAATACAGATAAGTTAATATGGGCAAACATAATAAACAGGCAATTTGCAAAAAAATTCAAATAGCCAGTAAATAAGTAAAATAAAAAAGTTCAATTTAAGGGCATCTGGGTGGCTCAGTCAGTTGAGCGTCCGACTCTTGGTTTCTGCTCAGATCATGGTTCGTGAGGGCAAGCCCTGTGTCAGGCACAGTGTAGAGCCTGCTTGGGATTCTCTCTTTCCCTCTCTCTCTGCCCCTCCCCAACTTGTTTTCTTTATCCCTTTCTCAAAATAAATGAATAAACTTAAAAAAGTTACTTAAAAAAAGTTAAATTTAAAAATACAACTTAAAATAGGGATGAAATACTTTACTTAATGCAAAAATTAAAAATGGATGGTATTTATTATTAGTACAGGTGTGGTAAAATTAACATTCTCCTAAATTGCCTTTAGAGGAACCAGAAAGGTACTTTTCTGGGGGGGAAAACTGTCAATAAGTGTCAAATGCCTTAAATATGTTCGTACCTATTGTCCTTAATAGAATTTCTAGGATTTAACCTCAGAAAATAATAAGACATATAATCAAAGAGTTTTATATATGAAAGTATCCATTTTAGTATTTTTAGTAATAGAAACAAATTGAAAATAACAAAATAGAATACAAAACTAGATTATGATCCTAATTATATACATACAAACAGGAAATACAGTTGTGTGTGCATATTTTGAAAGAAATACTCTGAAATATTATAGTTGTTATCTTTACGAGACCAGGTGATTTTTATTTTATTTACATATTTGTGTTTTTCAAGTTTTCTATGGCAACAACTGTGACTTTATAATTGGGAAAACTTTTTAAGAAAAGAAAAATAACATTCAGGGTATTTCCTACAGAGAATTACTTGTAACCCAGATATCAGTAACTCCATGGACCTGTACACCCCAGAATAAAATGACTAAAAGTTCAAATTAGAACCCTGGATTCCCTCTACTAACCTGTCATTATATCATCTTTAATAACTGTTTAGGCCAAAATACCTAGGAGTCCCCTTGGATTTATCTCTCCCCACATCTAATTAATCAGCATCCTGACAGTTCTAATTCCAAAACAGATTACAAATTTAACCAATTCTGTCTCCACTGTGAGTGACCCTAACCCAGTCACCAGCTTTTGTCTCCTAACTTATCTCCGTGCCACTATTTTACTTCTCACCCCATACCACTCCCTACAGACCATTTCTTTTCATACAACAGTCCAACCGAGTTTTTTTCCTAATCAGATCATGTCCCTCTGCTTAAAGCTCCACATAGTTCCCAGTAGAGTTAGTCTAACATGATTTGGCTCCTGGTTGACTCTATGGCGTTATGTCCTATTACTCTTTCTGTCGTTCACTCTCCTCCAGTGGTTTTGGCCTCACTTGTCTTCAAACTTGCCAACCTTGTTCCTACAAGGGCCTATGTACTAGCTATTCCTACTGTGAGGAATGTTTTCACCAAATCTTCCCATAAGTGACACCTTCTTCTTACTTAGGATCTGCTCCAATACTGCCTTGTAAGAATGGAGAGCTTACTCTAGCTAAAGGAATACTGTCCTTCCAGTTACTTTCTCCTCCTTCTAGCTCTTCCTCATCTGAACCAGAGAACACAGAAAATTATCTGAGTGACTATTTTCTCAGTGATCTCAAGGGTGGTACAAAAATAGTACCATCTTAGATGTAAAGGAAGAGTTAATTCATTATAATTAATGTCTAAGGAGAGTAGTTCTCCAACTTTTTGGCCTCAAAACCCATTTATTCTTAAAATTCATAAACAATCCCAAAGAGCTTTTGCTTATACAGGTTATAATATATATATTTACCACATTTAAAATGAAAAATAAGAAATATAGAGCATATTTCTTATTACACATAAAAATAAGAGGCCAATTACATATTAACATAAATGAAAAAACTATTTTTCAGGCAAAAAATAAAAATTTAGTGACATGACTGGCACTGAGTTAGATCTGTACTTTTTTTTTGCATACCTTAAATTAAAAATATTTTATTGCTAAAAAAATGCTAACCCTCTTCTGAGCTTTCAGTGAGTTATTATCTTTTTGCTGATGCAGGGTCTGTTTGTAAATTTTTTAATGTTTGGTTTTAAGAGAAGACTGCTGGATTATTATATCTGCTTCTACATTTAATCTGTTGCAATATACTACCTGGCTGAAGTGTATGAAGAAAATCTGTTCTAACACAGATAAGGAGTTGGGAAGGAGGACTTCAATAATCTTTCCAGATAACGGTGGCTACTCTTCTTTGACACTTGATAGGTGGTAGTTTCTTAAAAGTTTAGCTATAATGCAAATTCAAACCTTAAAATTAACTTTTTGTATTATTATATTAAATCCAGTGGTTTATCTTGCACTTAGAATGAATTTTTCAGCCATGCATAATTTTATAACATCATACACTGGTCATTTAGAAAATGCTGGTTCACTGAGTCATCTAGAACTTCCAAACATTGCCACATGCCATTTTACAATGTCAAAAAACTCTTATTTGTTACTGTCACTATCCATCTCATTGGAAGACACTTTAAGAGACTCTTAAGTCATCACACTCATAGTGGCAGAAAACAGTTTTCCATAATTCTAATTTCCACTTGAAAGCTTGAATTTTGTCATTGGCAATAAACAGTCAGGTGTTTTCTTTGAAGTGACAAACTCATTTCATTCGTTTTTGTTTTTGTTTTTTTTAATATTTTTATTTATTCCTAGGAGAGAGAGAGACAGCATGAGCAGGGGAGGTTCAGAGAGAGAGGGAGACACAGACTCCGAAACAGGCTCCAGGCTCTGAGCTGGCACTCAGCACAGAGCCCGACGCGGGGCTCGAACCCACAAACCGCGAGATCATGACCTAAGCAAAAGCTGGACGCTTAACCGACTAAGCCACCCAGGTGCCCCTCATTCATTTTTTTAGAAAATGTTGCCAAATTCCTAAAGTCTACATAACCACAGCTGTCAGTCATTCTTTCAAGTAAAAACTGTCTATGGAAAAAGTGGCTAGTTCAGCTCATGACTCAAAGGATCACTTGGGTCTTCCCTCAAGGCAGATAACCATCATATCTGAGTATGTGGCAGAAATCACTTCATGTGTGCTTCTCATTTTGTCATACAGATTAAACAAAGTGTGCATGTGGGCATCCGACTCTTGATTTCTGCTCGGATCATGATCCCAGGGTCAAGGAAAGGAGCCCTGTATCCTGGTCAGTGCTGAGCATAGAGCCTGCTTAGGATTCTCTCTCCCTCCCTCTCTCTCTCTCTCTCCCCCCCCCACCACCCCACCCCTTCCCTGCTTATACTCTCTAAAAAAAAAAAAAGTGTGAGGCACCTGGGTGGCTCAGTTATTTAAGCATCAGATTACAGCTCAGGCCATGATCTCACTATTTCTGAGTTCGAGCCCCCGCGTCAGACTCTGTGCTGACAGTTCAGAGCCCAGAGCCTGCTTCAGAATCTGTGTCTCTCCCACTCTCTCTCTGTTCCCCCCCTGCTTGCACTCTTTCTCTCAAAAATAAACATTAAAAAAATGTTTAAAAAAAGTGTGCACTTAAGGGTTAAAATTAACATAATCAGTATTTTTACCTCTTCATCAAAAACTTTAAGTGAAAATGGCATTAAAATTTTTTATTGAGATACCTGGTTGGCTTGGTCATAAAAGTAAGTGCAGTCATGTTGCCTCTGCCTTGATTCATGCTAAGATATAAGGAGTTGGACCCATCAATTCTTTTGTACCAAGAGTGCAAATGTCAACAGAGTGAAAAGGGCAATTAACGTCTTAGTATTATTATGAAAATATTTTTGAATTTGTAGAGCTTTTTGAAAATTTTTAAAAATTTATTTTTTTTTTTAAAATTTTTTAATGTTTTATTTATTTCTAGGAGAGAGAGAGAGACAGCGTGAGCAGGGGAGGGTCAGAGAGAGGGGGAGTCACAGACTGAAACAGGCTCCAGGCTCTGAGCTGGCAGTCAGCACAGAGCCCGACATGGGGCCCGAACCCACGAACCGCGAGATCATGACCTAAGCGAAAGTCGGACGCTTAACCGACTAAGCCACCCAGGCGCCCCTTTAAAAATTTATTTTTGTTTTTTTAAATGTTTATTTTTGAGGCAGAGAGAGAGCAGGGGAGGGCAGAGATAGAGTGAGGGAGGATCTGAAGTGGGCTCCATGCTGACAGCAGAAAGCCTGATGTGGGGCTCGAACTCATATACTATGAGATCATGACGCTTAACTGACTCAGCCACTCAGACACTTCTCTACAGCCTTTTTTAAAAAAAGTTTATTTGAGAGAGAGCAAGTGTGTGTGCATCCAAGTGCATCCAAGTGCAAATGAGAAGGGGAGGGGCAGAGGGAAAAGGAAAGAGAGAATCCCAAGCAGGCTCCAGTATAAGTCCCAAATATCCCATGGGATATTCATATACTAAAAATATTATTTTTTATTTACCTAAATAAAAAAGAATTTAAATTTAACTGAGTGTCCCATATTTTATCTGGCAATCCTACTTAGGAATCTACATTCCACAGTTTGAGAATCATTGCTTTAGGGCATTAGGCTCAATTCCAAACTGATTAAAAAAGGTTCAGTACTTCTTTATTGAAAACACTATCTAAAACTACCTGATTTATTTGTATTGTTTACTGTCTCCCTCCTTCAAGAACATATGTTTTGTAAGGGAGGGAGCCTGTCTGTCCTGCTCATCACTATATTCTTAGAACTTAGAATAGGGCCTGGCACAAAAGAAATTCAGTAAATATTTTGTTGAACAGCTGAGTGAATAAAAAACTAAGGACTGGTGTGACAAATGCTCAGAGGGAATAAGCAGGCAGAGCTGAGACAGAGTAGGGATCTCAAGAGTTCTGCGGGATTGCAAGGCCTCTCATCTGCAAGGTACTTGCTATTACTCAACAGTGCAAAGGGCCCAGGACCACCCAAAGTAGGATTAGTAAAGTGTGGTGACCTAGATTTCAGTTCAGAAAGGGCTTGTGAACTATGGACAAAAGAAAACGAGGAGGAAAAAGGGTATTCTAAAGAAATGCTATCCCTGTAGCCAAGCTAAAGTAAAGCTCTTTAACTTCACATGTTATCTCCAGGATAGATCTCAAAAAGCTTTACAAAAAATAACTGTCTTTTTAAGGAAATATAGACAAGGGAGAAGAGAATCAGGCAGCCAAGGCCTTAATGACAAAAAGGATGTGAATCTTCCATTTACTGTAAGCAGCTAAGAGGTTTGGAAGTTGTACCCATAGGGAACCAAGAAGGCAGAGACTCTTTGGGGGCTTACAGAACTGGAACTGTGGTGGGTCCTGATTTTACTATATTCTCATGAGAACTACATCCTTTAAAAGAACTGTATCTTCTAGTTTCTATCCCTGAATTATGAAGTTCTGCTAGAATAATGGGACACTTTAAACAATGTTTAAACTCTCCTAACAATTTCTAAGTTTGTGGTTAGTTTATTAAGCATGATCTTGGTTTTAGAAAATAAGAGTTATAAAACATATTTTAAAAATAAACAATTTCTCAATTACCTGAAATATTAGGCTTTATTTTCACTGGCGAATAAACAGAAAACATCCACTGCCCTGAAGATTCCCAAATTTCCATATCTTTTATAATGCCTTCCCTGGGGGAAAAAAAAAGAGAGAGAGAGAGAAAAGGATCTTTTTCATCTGCTTGTTAAAATTTATTGTTTATAATTTTCAATGATTAAAATTTTAAACTATAGTGAATATATAATTTTAGATATTTTCCACTGTATTTTCTGAAGAGTATTCTTTAAAGAATTTATAGAATAAGAACTAGATTTCATGATTTTAAATATTATAATATTGGGGTGCCTGAGTTGACTGTGCATCTGACTCTTAGTTTTGGTTCAGGTCATGATCCCTGGGCTGTGGGATCGAGCCATGTTGGACTCCACACTGAGTGGGGAGCCTGCTTGGGAGCCTCTCTCTCTTCCCCTCCCTCCACCCCTCTCCTCTGCTTGAGTGCTCTCTAAAATAAATTAGGGGCGCCTGGGTAGATCAGTCAGTCAAGGGTCTGACTTCAGCTCAGGTCATGATCTCGTAGTTCTTGGGTTTGAGCCCTGCGTCAGGCTCTGTGCTGACAGCTTGGAGCCTGAAGCCTGCTTCAGATTCTGTGACTCTCTCTCTCTTTGCCCCTCCTCCACTCATACTCTCACTCTCTGTCTCTCAGAAATGAATAAACGTTAAAAATTAAAATAAGGAATGCCGGCTTGGTTCAGTTGGTTAAGTGGCCAACTTTGGCTCACGTCATGATCTCATGGCTTGTGAGTTCGAGCCCTGCGTTGGGCTCTGTGCTGACAGCACAGAGTCTGGAGCCTGCTTTGGATTGTTTCTCCTACTCTCTCTGACCCTCCCCTGCTCGAACTCTGTCTCTCTCTCAAAATTAAATAAACATCAAAAAATAATTTTAAAAAATTAAAATAAGAAAGTATTATAATATCAAAGAAGTTTATAGTTTTGGTTTTCTAGTAAGCTGAACAACTAACCAATACATTTATTGAGAACTATCCAACTATACATATTTTAAAGAACTAAAGTATAATAAAATATACAATACTAACTTTAATCTTTCTTTGTTCATTATCATAAACATCAATGACCATTTAACTAGAAAAAGACCCAAAGCACCAGATGAGTAATATGGAATCATAACATTTTTATTTTATGTATGTATTTTATGTTTATTTCTTTATTTTGTTTTTTTTTTGTTTTTTTTTGTTGTTGTTTTTTTTTATATTTTTTTCTAGGAGAGAGAGAGAGAGAGACAGCGTGAGCAGGGGAGGGTCAGAGAGAGAGGGAGATACAGACTCCGAAATAGGCTCCAGGCTCTGAGCTGGCAGTCAGCACAGAGCCCGACGCGGGGCTCGAACCCACGAACCGCGAGATCATGACCTGAGCGAAAGTCGGACGCTCAACCGACTAAGCCACCCAGGCGCCCCATGTTTATTTCTTTATTCTGAAAGAAAGAGAGAGAATGAGCAGGAGATGGGCAAAGACTCTGAGAGGGAGAGACAGAATCCCAAACAGGTTCTGCACCATCAGCGAGGAGCCTGATGCAGGGCTCAAACTCACCAACTGTGAGATCATGACCTGTGCTGAAACCAAGAGTCAGATGCTTAACTGACTGAGCCATCCAGACATCCCTTTATTTAATTTATTAAAAAGCTTCAAGCCCAGTGGGAGCCCAGTGCAGGGCTTGAACTCACTACCCTGAGATCAAGACCTGAGCTGGAAAGCATTAAAAAACAAATTAAAAAAAAAGGGGGGGTGGGGGGCGCCTGGGTGGTTCAGTCAGTTAAGTGTCCGACTTCGGCTCAGATCATGATCTCACAGCTCATGGGTATGAGCCCCGTGTTGGGCTCTGTGCTGACAGCTCAGAGCCTGGAGCCTGTTTCAGGCTCTGTGTCTCCCTCTCTCTCTCCCCCTTCCCTGCTCACGCGGTCTCTCTCTCAGAAATAAACAAAATATTAAAAAACAAATTAAAAAAAAAAAAGACTTGAGCTGGGATCAAGTCAGACACTTTGACCAACTGGAGCTACCCAGGTACTCTAAAAACTTAAAATTTTTAAGTGGGCAGGGCTTTAGAGACTATTTTGTTTAATTCTTATCATTTTGCAAAATGGAAAACAGACCCATATCTATATAATTCTCTTATTGGCCAAGTTGTGGATAGATTTGACTTTAAATGTTTTCCTCCCCTATCCAGAAAGCTACTATTAATAAAATTTTTGCTATCACAGAATTTTAAATAATTTTTAAATAATTTTACAACATCAAATATAGGAAGGAAGGCTTTGTTTGCTCTTTTACCTTTAAAAAATCAATTGTATATAGTACATGGCTCAAAATGTTTACCACTTGTTCTAATTTATTATGGGAAATAAAAAGACTAACCAGTATATTTAAGTTCTGTCCTCATGTTGGGAGCTGAGGCAACAATTACAAAGAGTCAGGGACTATTTTGGTACCAGTCATACATTGTACCATGATCAACAATCATAAGGAATATAATCTACAGTAATGAAGGAAATCAAATGAAACCAGTTTTAGAAAGAAAAATACCAGATGCTGTAAGTACCATCAAGATCACAAATTGCTTAAATTATCTCCTAGTTTGTAAAGAACTCTTAATTTCCAACAAACTTAAGCAGAACTACTTTATTTTTTTAAGACTTTTTTTTTGTTTGTTATTTATTTTTGAGAGAGAAAGAGACAGAATGTGAGTAGGGGAGGGGCAGAGAGAGAGAGGGAGACACAGAATCCGAAGCAGGCTCCAGGCTCTAAGCTGTCAGCAAAGCCTGATGCTGAACTTGAACCCACGAACCGCGAGATCATGACCTGAGCGAAGCTGGACGCTTAACTGACAGCCACCCAGGCGCCCCAAGCAGAACTACTTTAGAAAGATATTCAACAGAGTGTTATCTATAGAAAAGTGGAAATAAAAATTAGTCACTGTACTGGTATGGTTGGTGACCAATATTTTTTTGCATTTCTATTTTTTCATTTTAGAGAGAGAGAGTGTGTGAGTCGGGGAGAGGGGCAGAGAGAGAGGGGCAGAGAGAGAAAGAGAGAGAGAGAGACAGACAGACAGACAGACAGACTCAAGAATCTCCATAGCATAAAGCCTGACATGGGGTTCAATCTCATGACCCTGGGATCATGTCCTGAGCTGAAACTGAGTTGGATACTCAACTGACTGAGCCACCAAGGTGCCCCAATGTGACACATTTTTTAAGTGAAATACAGTCTAATATGACATACGCAAAATAGTTATCTCTGAGTGACAGGATCATGAGTGCTTTTCTCCTTTTTGCTTATTCTGATTTTTTAATAATGTATTACTTCTTTTTTAAAGAAAATATTGTAGGTACTTTGGAAAAAAAATAAGCAAATGGGTAGTTAGTTTTTTTGAAGGCTTCCACTTACAGAAATTTCTTTTCATCTTTCTGCTCCTCAGAGCTGAGTGAAGCAAATGGATTCTGGGACTGTCCAAACCCCCTGTTCCTGCTAGTTGAAGTTCCAGAATTCAAAGAACCAAAAGATGGCTTTTCTTGATCTCTGCTGCCCCCCCATGGTGTGGATTTGGAGAAGCTGGATGGCTGGATGACGCTAGAGTATCTCTGGCTGGTGGTATTCCATCCACGTCTGTTACTACCTGAAAATAAACAAAACAATTTTATTGGTAACTCCTTTTTTAAAACTCTAAAAATTTAATTACATTTTGTCTTATTATGTGCAGACATTATGTAAAGATTTAACACGCAAATTCCTACTCATTTTAAATCACAAAATTCTTCATTTTTGATTTATATAGTTACTTGTAAACAATAAAACATGTAATGGTCTAATCATGTAATGGTCTTTTTGCTTGTTTAAAAAGATTGAGAGGACTGTAAATCCATAGAAAAATAATAATATATTACTAAGTTTAGCTGATATAAGCTTATTAAATAAATAACTGCTTGACAATGGATTTAGGATGTATCCTAAATCATAAGCTCTTTCAGGATAAAAAGCTATGTCTTTATCATTCTTTGCTCTCCAACTAGGCCATTATACAGCAGTTAGGTCTGAAAAATGGACAATATATAAAGGAGTTTCTTGAATATAAAAAATTAGATTCTACCCTCTGTCCTTGAATACATGCTTAAGTCAATTTGACTCCATCTTCCCTCTGGGAAAACACCATCTACCCATCTATCTTTCATAGGGAGATTCTAATTTACATGTGAATAAAATGCACTCAGTTCTGCTATGATGAGCAGATTCTAATATTTCATAATTATCAAAATGAGCCAATAGGACTCTCTCCTCTCTATATACTTAAAAAAAAAAAAAATCTTACCACTTAAAGCACCCTGTTTACTCATCACTTCCAAGCTGAGGCCAAGATAATTCACCTTCTGAGTGAATTAGGAGACATGCCATGAAATGTATTAAAAACTGAATATATCTGGGGCGCCTGGGTGGCTTAGTCGGTTAAGCGTCCGACTTTCGCTTAGGTCATGATCTCGCGGTTCGTGGGTTCGAGCCCCGCGTCGGGCTCTGTGCTGACTGCCAGCTCAGAGCCTGGAGCCTGTTTCAGTCTGTGACTCCCTCTCTCTCTGACCCTCCCCTGCTCACGCTGTCTCTCTCTCTCTCCTAGAAATAAATAAAACATTAAAAAAATAAAAAAAAAAAAAAACTGAATATATCTGATGGAGATATAGCCCTTCATGAAAATTCATCTCCCAACTCTAAAACTACTTAATTAAGCCAATGAGAAAAAGGGGCAGATTGCTGGGCCATTTTCCTCATGTAAGGGTTAATGGTATTTCATTTTTCTAAAGTTCCAAATCCTTTGGGGGATGACCCCCTGAAGAAATTCATTCCTTCTTTTGTATATAGCTTTTGACCTTCACTTATTAATTCTAGAAGCATTCTTTCCTGGGAGGTAAATACACTGTTTAAAGAGTTTCATTTATATTTTCTTCAACCATCAATCCATTCTACATTTATTGTCTAATTACTACATTTAGAGTGAGCCGCCAAAGAAGGTCAAATATTAAGTCGTTTTTACAGGAAATACACTCACATTTATCAGACCCCCAAGTCATAACTTTTGGTTTGGAATATTCACTAGACTAACTGTGGGTGATGCAAAAGGACTGTCTCCAAGAAGAGGGATCAGACGTGAAATCACAATGCAACATGAAGAGTTGGATGAACAGTCCTAATAGAGGGAAGGGAAGGAAGAGGAGAGGTCAGCATCTTGTGATACCTTCGAGGGCTAAGTTTCAATCCTAATGAAACCTAACTATTCATCTGAACTTTAAAACCTTGTGTTGTAATAAATACGGTTTCATTTTTGTTCCGTCCTCTTCCTGAACACAATCCTTTCATATCATCCACGATTGGCTTAAATATTCCAAAAACTTTATCACTTAGGCCCAGATGGTAGGTCAACGTGGTCCTCCACACCCCCTTCCCTCATAACTCACAGTTCTTAATTGGGCACCTCTTCCTTCCAATTTTACCCCCAATGTTACGAAGATGTACATTCACCTGGGGTATAGCTTTGTAGCTATTATCAGATTTTCAAAGGAGTTTGCGACTTCCCCAAAGTTAAGAATCCAGGCTCTGACCCCAGGTGCTAGCCTCTTTCTGGAAGAGTTTGGTAAAAATTATATTTAAGGTGCCAAAGGAAAAAAAATAAAGTACCCAGAAGGGTAGTTAAGCAAGGAGGCGTCTGGGTCGACCTACACCAATTCTCCGGACCACTACCACCCACAGACAACGTAGTTTTCCACGTATTCCCGACCTAAAACTCATTGTTTCGCATTAGTAAGAAAGGGCAGGTCTCGGTCTTCACGCCGTCAAAAAAAGTAACCCCGGGCCTAACAAGCTAATAAAGCGATGCGGAGAGCCTGAACCCAGCGCGCTGGGCGGAGCTGAAAGGGGGCGACGAGGGCATTTCAGCACCACCGGACACTGGTGGCGCACAGCGGCGCAGAGCCGAGCGGCGGGCTCCACGCCGGACGCCCGTTCTCAGCCGGACGCGCCCCGGGCCAGGCCTTCCCCTGCTCGGCTACCGGCGTAGGACCGGGGAGAACGTCACCTGAGGGCTGTTGCTGCCGTCCCGCACCCCCGGCGCCGGGATGTTCGTTCCAGCACCGGTCTCCAAAGCGGCACCGGCCTTGAAGGAAGAACTGACAAATGGTCATTGCGACGGCGCCGTCCACGGAACGATCTTCAGGCGGCACCCTCGGCGGAAGGAGAGCCAAATGCAGCTACGGGTCCCACCCCGCTACCGTGACGTCACCTTCTCGCGACCCATTCCCTCTTGTCCCGCCCTGGGATGAGAGGCGTGGATTTTACCCAATAGGATTTGAGAAGAGCGGGGCGGCCCCCCACTTACTCATCTTGTCTTGGGAAAGCACAACATTTGAATGGTTTACGTGGAGGAAGAGGCGTGTTTGCGCGTGGTACAAGGCCTCCGACTTTAAGGGAAGTTTGAGGGTTAGTAACGAGAAGCAGGTTAAGGAAACAGATCTTCAGCAAGGCCCTAGAGGAGAGAAGTAGTTGTGGTTTGAGAGACCAGTCGTACTTTACATTTGTACTGTTTAGGAAGCAAAAATCTGCCCAGCCATTCATCAGGTGGGTGATAGATAAAGCTGTTAAAGCCCCCTCCCCTGTTTATAACCTTTGGCCAATATACTCTTTGTACATAAGAAACTAGGAGATTCGAACACTGTGTGCACAGCAAGCTAGCCTCACCCTTGCAAGGTAAGTTTCTCAGGAACTGCACCAGAGTTAGGCAGGAAGTCAGTAACTGCGCTGTCGGCCTCTGTAGCCTACTTGCCACAGAGGCGATACTTGTATCTTAGAGAAACAGGTCCTAGTCATGCAGATACCTGGGAACCTAGTGAAGTCTGATAAACAAGAATATAAGCTCTCCCCTGCTACTATTTGGGGCTGCTTGATTTGGGTGCTCCCCAAGCACGCCCAGCATTGAATTAAGAAGTGTGTGACGCCGATTTGTGTTCCTGTATTCTGTTCACTGATCTCGGCTCGGGTGGCTACAACAAAGCTAGTTATAAGGTTAACAGGAAACTTTCCTTCAAGGACAGACAGCAACTGAAAAGTATTATAACAATTGTAAACACTGCATTCTTAACACTGAGAAAACTAGTTCTTTAAAGTCCACATAAATGCTGCTATTTGAAATTGTTATCTGTAAGAATGAAACATCCCACTCTTCCTTGGAGGAGCGAAGACAGAGAAGTAGCATCGATTTCTAGGCAGGTGCAGAACTTCAGGTGTTCCTGAAAAGAGCATTCTATATTTTTCTTAATTTTGTAGTTCCCAAGAAAACAACCCTACATCCACTCCTCAGTCCAGATCGGATGTTGATGCCTTTACACACAACTCTGCTTTGCTTTGAGCTTGCCAAATTTTACCTAAAATACCTCTTCTTCACAAATCCTGTAACTATCTTTTCCTTTGTATTGTGAGACACCCTCCTCTTCCCCTGGTTGCCAGTCTGCTTGGTTGCAAGGAGGCAATGAATCTGAATTTTTTGGAACATAGGTTTGTTCCTGGTGGTTTAGAATGATTGGCCATAGTTCTTGCTCACATCTTTGGATTTTGAGTACAATGGAATCTACCCAAGTGCTGGCAATAACTGGTACAACCTAGCTTATTTTTAAAGTTTTTATTTATTTATTTATTTATTTAATTTTATTTAAAGTAATCTCTAAGACCCAGTGTGGGGCTCAAAATTATGACGCTGAGATCAAGTTGCATGCCATTTGACTGACTTGAGCCAGCCAGGCACCCTAAACTAGTTTATTAAAAAAAAAAAGAAATCTATTTAATTCACTTACTTTGAAACTTATTGAAGATTTACAAATATAAAAGACTATATTGCAGACATGATGCCCCATCACCCAAATACTTATTGTATTTCCTACAAAGACATTCTCCTACATAACCACAGAATAGTCACCAAAATCAAGATATTAATATTGATGTACTACTGGGGTGCCTGGGTGACTCAGTCATTTAGTATCAGCTCAGGTCACGATTTCATCATTTTTTTATTTCGAGCCCTGCATGGAGCTTGCTGCTGTCAGCACAGAGCCTGCTTTGTACTTTTTGTTCCCGTCTCTTTGCCCCTACCCTGCTTTTGCACATCTGATCTCTCAAAAATAAACAAGCACGTTTATAAAGAAAAAAAAAAAAAAAAAAGAACGATCCAGTTTAGAACCATTGTTGCCTTATTAATATTTCTTTAGTCTTCTTCATTCTGAGGAAGAAACACTTCCTCAGTATTTCCTTGATTTTCAAGACACTATTAAACCATAACACTATTAAAGACCTTGACCCATTTCAAGACCTTGATAGCTAGTTATTTTGTGGAAGTTTCTCAGGGCAGATTTATCTGATGTTTTCTCATGATTGGATTCAGATTAAGCATCTCTGGCAGGATTATCACAGAAATGATGCCATGGTCTTCACATTGTACCTCCCAGATGCTGCACAATTTCAATTTGTCTCACTGCCTGAGGTGTTCACTTTGATCACTTGGTTAAGGTGGTGTCTGCCAAGCTACTTGATTCTACAATGACTCTTTTCCTTTTTATTAATAAGGACTTTGTGGGGAGATACTCTGAAAGTATAAAAATGTTATTTCTCAAGTTTTTTGGTTCATTCATGCACTTATTTCCTGTTAGTATGGCCTCATGATTTCCAATTTTATTCAGTGGGTTATAATCTATTACTGTCATTATTTTGAGTTTCAAATCATCTCCAATTTGGCCAGTGAGAGCCCTGTAAGCTCCTTTGGTTTTTCAACACATCCCATGATTCTCTGAGTACTTCTTTCTTTACTCCTTGGCCCAAAAGATGATCTGGGCTCATCTTATACATTCCCTGATCCAGTCTTGGAAACAGCCATTTCTCTAGGGAGTCTTGGGTCTTTTAATGGTACTTAGAAACCAAGATCTGAACTTTAAGTTTTCTGTGAGGTCTTTGCTCCCAAGCACTTTCATGAGCATTCCTAGGAAATATGTACTATAGACAGACACATTTATACCAACACATATTTCTGTGTTTCTATGTATTAGAAAGTATGAGTTTACACTTATAACTTCTAATTCTATCCCAAGATCACAGGATTTATTTTGCTCCTGTATTTCTAACTTCCTTGATAGCGAGAAACTTGGTTCACACTGTTCACATGAGTAATCCCCTTGTACTAACCAGTCTCTCATTGTGGCCACTGACTTGTCTATGCAAACACAAACATGTGTAAGGACTCTGCTGGGCTATCAAAGACCTAAAATAATGCCAGTGGTGGCTGAAGCTGTGAGGGTGAGCATGGTGCTGTGTGAAGGTAGAGGGGTGGGCAAGGCCAGATCCCAATGGGGATTGTCTTGGTGGAGTGCTGTGTGAGACCATAGAGCATAGGGGCAAGGGATGCAGAATTCAGCAGTGATCAGTTAGGACAGGGGAAAGTGGAAATCAGGAGTGGGGTCACAGGAAGGAAACTTCTGATTTCCAGATGGCAAAGTAAAAATACTTCTGACCCCCCTTCCTCTTAAAAATCATGTCAGAATAAGAGGAAAACAGGCAAAAACACCGTCTTTGATTATACTAGGAGATAACCAAAATCTCAAACCACAGTTTATGAGGACTGAATGCACATGGAAGAATATTCAACTACTTAGAAGAGTAGGAAGATCAAATTCCTATAAGGTGCACACAGATGTCCCTAGAGAAGGCTGAAAAGTCTCAGCAATTAAGAGCCTCCAGGTAACCACAGTAGAGTGAGTCTGTAAGTGGTGCAGTTAGAATCTAGCTCCATAAATCCACCCAGTAAGGCAACCCTCCCTACCTGATGGGAGATAGGATTTTTCTTGGGAAAGAAAAACAGGGCAGGGGGGTGGTGGTGACGGGGGTGGGGGAGGGTAACAAAAGGGTTCAGAATCCAGGAGATCAATTACAAAGGGGAAGTTATGGTACTGACAAAGCAACCTATGTTTATTGTCCTCTTTGCCTGAGCTCCCAAAATCCTGCAGCCAGGCTTATAGTCCCCCTTTTTTCCCCAACTTGCCCTCCCCATCCAAGGCCCAGGAGCTTGGAAGGTTAGTTTTCTGAGAATCAAACATCCCAGAAAAGTATCTATGAATCTCTGATGGATCCCCAACAAGAAGAGGTGGCCATTTCCGCATCATGTGATGAAGCTCACTGATAGATTTTTATTTATTATTTTTAAAAGTTTATGTAGAGAGAGAGAGAACTGGGGAGGGGGGAGAGGCAGAAACAGGGGAGGCAGAGGATCCTGAAGCAGGCTTGGTGCTCACAGCAGAGAGATCAACATACACAAACTGTGAGATCACGCCCTGAGTCAGTCAGATGCTTAACCTACTGAGCCACCCAGGTGCATCAAAGCTCACTGATATTTAAGCCCACCTCTGCACACAAAAATTACCAACTTTTTAAATGTCTCATTTCAAATATAAATGCACAGCCATGGATGAGATACTTGCAGAAAGACTCCAACAGAGAAAAGCAGAGTAAACTGACAGACATCAAGCATACAGAAAATGTTAAAGAAACTTAAGCATCCCCAGGATAACATGAAATGATAATAGAATGCTATAGAAAAGAATATTTTTTTAAAAAAGTGTTCTTAGAAATTACACATGAATAGTGAAAACAAATTCAACAGAGGGTTGGAAGATAAAGTCAGAGAAACCCGCTACAAAAATGGACTAAACCAGATCCTGAACCCATTTACTATTGTCATAATAGAAGGCTTAAGAATATGGGAAGTAAAATGCTTTCTAGTTAGTAACATTTCCAACAACTTCCCAGCACAGCCTTTAAAATTTTTATTTCTCCCCAAAATAGCCTTGTGAAGGAAGAAGAAGGTGAAAGTCAACTCAAACTTTTGTCTTTTGAGGCACATGTAAGAAAAAGTGTTATTTAAAGAATTTATCACATGGTGAATGATGCAGCCTAAAATTGTCTTTTCATAGTACCAAATTATTAGGACTTAGAGTTAGTTTGGTGTCATGTGGAATGGGCTGAATTTTCTGACATTGTAGGTTTATGTTCATGGCATCACCCTTAAAAAGCAAAATTTCCTCCAAATATTTCCTTTACCCTGGCCTATGTAACAAATCTCAAAT